TCTATTTAAAACCGGAATGAAATAATATAGTTAAAGTTCAACATTTTAATCATACATATGGTGACATGGTTTTGTATTCCCATCTTTCTGTCTGATGAGAATATCGCTATGCTTTAGTAAAGTAGTTTTTTCAGACTTTATATAAAGTTTGCTGAGCTGACCAATACAGATCACCAAACCACAACACAAGCGAGCCACACAAGCAGCACAGACAACAGCACATCCCACTAAAAATATGACAATGTACAAGGTAACATCCTGCTTATATGAATTCCTAAATATGCCAGCGGCATGTTTATAATATACAGCATGAGAATAGCTCACACTGTGTGAAAAGCAGGACAAAGAATTATGCTGCATTGGCAGTCTTGTTCCTAGAATCCCTCACCGCTTCAGGAGCCAGAAGAGTTCCCATTGAGTTCGAGGTGGTGAAAAAAAAAACAAAAAAAAAAACACAACAGGTTTCAATTATTGGCTCCCTACTGAAGGTGTGACAAAATGTTTGTTTACTTGGAGGTTAAAAAAAAGATATAATAATCTCTCTCTCTCTTTCTCTCTCTCTGACATGCATGCACAATCTCACTGCCTACATCAACAGACTGGTTCTGATCTAGTTTCCACATCCAGATCTGGGAACTGTTGCATAAATAATTGTTAGGGGGTAAGATTTCTTCAGCCTCCTAAGTACCAAGTAACATTAATCCAGCAATAGTGTAGATGCAAAGACAAAAACATAGCCTTTCTGTCAAATAAACATTTTAGATTGCTTTATGAAATAAACCCATAGTTTTATGAACCTGACCCAGTAAAAAAGTTTTTTTAACTAATCACAGAAATTAGCAAAATAGGGCATACAGTGTCACTTGACATAGTGGGAAAAGCACAGATGTCAAGTTAACCAGTGAGCCAGCATGCACAATACCATCACGCTGAGAATGAAGCAGCTACAGTAACTTTCAGCCATTGTGTTTTGCAGTTTTACACCTACTGTGACATATTAAAAACTCAAAGATATTCCTTTTTAGTTTGTGTTTAAAAGAACGTTAAGTTTTCAAACAAGTCTGAATGCACTTATTGCAAGTCACTTTGGGCATAAGAGTCTGCCAAATGAATGTCTTAAAGGCATAAAAACTGTTTACAGTTAGTAAGTTTTTGTTTGCTACCTTAAGTGAGACGATGTAACTTTTGAAAGAAAAAAAAACATGTTCTTACACATGTGTATGTTATTGTTAAATGTTACAATTCTTCTCTACCCCTACACTTATTTTTACTTTAACTATTCCTTTAATTTTGTTATACATTACAGCAGCATTGGCTTAACTGTTTTTACAGTAGATACAGTAAAGTGTTACAGGAAGAAATATTTTACTAATGTTATTAGCAGCAGTAGTAGCAGGTGCAGTAGTAAGGAAGGATTGGGACGGCGATTAGGATTATTGGACATGCAGACAACACCCACACACTGAAGTGATGCCTCTTACACCATGAGGAGCGCTCATGTTGATAATTACAGCGCATTAGTATGGCTTGGATGTCTGAATAGGATTTGGAACATTACATCCGGTCAGCTCTTTCTATCTATATTTAGATCGTTTTACTATCATATCAACTTCTGTCAGGTTTAATTGTGGCAAGTATTGAAGTGACAGAGGTACATTCATGCATACTGTATCCACAGATACATATACTTTACATACACACACACACACACACACCCCCCCCCACTGAAGAAACATTTCAAATTAATTGCTGACATTGTCATTTATCCCTCTCGTCATTAAACAGACATGATTTATTGTCAGATCAGCCATCAAGGGAACTGAATTTTATCATCTTTTCATTTCGAACATTTCATTGTGTGTGTGTGTGTGTGTGTGCGCTTCTATAACAGCAGAGGGCAGATTAGAAGGGAGTTTTAAGGCTTTGATATATGACCAACATTATGAGCAAATGTAGCAGATGGGTTATACTGTGTACAATTATGACAATTACATCTGAAGAGTACTTTTTCTTGCTCATGGCCTATTCATTTTACAGAGTGATTTTACGATCTGTTCTGCTGCTGAAAGATATCGCTCATCTGTGTTGCTTCTCATTGTGTTCACTCCTCTAAAAGAGAAGGCTCCTTTATATAAAATGAACAAAAAACTGCAAGGGGGACTTAAATTCCCCGACCTAAATGCATTTTGATGCAACACCAACAATGCTGCCTGTAAACGTTAGCATGTACACGTACACATTGTAGCTTCTCAAAGCAGTTTCCATTATCAGCAATATTCACAAAAGTGACAATGTCTTCTGTTTAAGTGTGTGCCGTGATGCACAGATAATATTGGTCTCAGTAGGCATTGTTAACAAACCTGACAAAAAGACAGTGGGTACACGTCCGTGTTCATGTCTTCAAGTAGCTGTTAGCACATCAAACAAAAACTGATTAAATATTCTTCAGCGATAACAAATTTGGTAAAGCTTTTACTGTGAATTGCCCAATACTGAACTAACCGATGGAAGAATTGATTAATTACATTACATTTAGCTGACGCTTTTATCCAAAGCGACTTACAATTGCTATACATATCAGAGGTTGCATGCCTCTGGAGCAACTAGGGGTTGTCTTGCTCAGGGACAATATTTTGCTATACTGCAGGCAAAAATGAATGATAGTTTTTAACTGGAAGAAAACTGTTGCACCTACAATTGATGCTTGGATCAATAATACGGCGTAATGAATGTCAGTGTAAAAAATAACAAATTGGGTATTCAAGGGAATTTAGGAACCATTTTATGATTTCTTTTAAAAACATGGAGATATAGGAAAGCTTATACAGGAGAGAAACAGGACAGGAAAAAAATGAAAATAACTTTGTGTATTTATATCGTTACTTTGTTAGAGGTACCACTGAATTGTGTGATTGATATTGTCAGCTTTATTGATTTTCACTCTAAACGCAAGGGAGATGTTGTATTTTACATTAAGGCTGCAAATCACAGTATGGCCAAGTGCAATATCCAAATTACAGCCCAATCAATAATTTAAATATATAATAAAATCGATGTGCCAATATGAGATAATTGCAGATGAATTGGTATCAGTGTTTATACCAGGCATAAATGACAATTAAAGAAATGGAGAGAGAGGCCTTAAATCATGTTATGAGTGTTGTCCTTGCAAAGTTTGTTCACAAGAGGGCACTCTGCAACTCCACTGTTGGCAACACACGTTTGGAGGCCACAAATTCACCACAAAACACAGTAATCAGCTGTACTTTTGTTCAAAGTACCCTTTTAAACTGCATTACGTCATGTTATCTTGGTGAGATCTCATAACTACACATAACAAATGTTAGGGATAATCTTTGGACTTCCAACAAGTTTTTTTTTTTAAAACTGTCTTCATCACAATCCTGTAAACAAACTAGTCAGTCAGCTAACTCATCTGGAACTGATTTTTTAAATATCAATGGAGAGTATAGCAACAATTTAATGTGCATGAATGACCATTAGGGGCTTTTACCGATTGTGGTTTGATTCTATGACATGCTAAAATGTCCACTGAAATGACCTCATGATACATGTACGAATGCTCAATTTAGTGCTCAGATAAACAAATACTAACACATACAACTCAAATTGCTCTATCAATGAGTAAGTGCAGTGTAGATATTTTTGCCATCAAGGCACTGACCTCTTCACCCATGCAAGCACTCATTAAACTCAGCACAGTAGAAACTGTGAAGTGATAATAATAATCAGGGAGAGGTGTTACAGGTGCCAGTAATATACCCTCCACCAAAACTGCATATTAAAAAAAAAAAGTGTACAGAGCCCAATACCAGCTTTTATGTGAAATCTACTACTACGAACCCTGCACCACCGATTGCTGCCCAGCATGACACCTCCAGTAGCCTATATTTGTCCAGCACAGGTGGAAGTCTTGACTCACTTTGCTGATTTGAATCAGGTCATTTAGTTCAGTTCAAAGATTCGTAATCACGGACTATGCAGTTCCTTTGCTTTTTTCCCCACTAAGCCAAGTGTTCACATCACTTTTCAAATGCTCTTCATAGTCGTATGTACGTTAGCACGCATCACTGTTGATGAGGCCAGGTTCAGTACATTCATTTTGTTGCTGGTCCAGGCTGTTATATTAAGTTTAATGAGGTTAATAGCTCGGAAAAGCTACTGATTTGTTAAGTGACTAATGATGATTCAATTTAGTCAGCTCAGTTTAAAGATTCGCTCCCAAAGATGCATTTGTACATGCACTGCTGCACTGAACACCTATACTGTGTAGTGTTTAGGGAATAGAGACTGATAACTCCAAGCAGAGCAATCCACCTGTTATGCAGCAGCAGGCTAAGGATAAGTATTTATTTATACATCTTAAAATTATTGAAATTAATGGTTTTGAGCAGGCAACTCTCTCATAAAATGTTATGCGACACTGTGCAGCTGCATTGAATGTTGCTGCTGCAGCTGCATAAATCTCACAAAAGGTAAGGCCTGAAAAACAGTAAAGCAAACGGTCACATGAACTCATTGGTTTCAGCTGAAATATTTCTCTCATGTGAAGCCTTTATCTCAAGGTACTTGTTTGAATGTGGTGGGTGCAAGGCAAAAGTCATGTTAATATACAATATTACTTGACAATTGGTCAAGCTATATGTGGGAATTATGACACAATTCAGGCCATTAACACTTCTAATGCTCAAAAATATGTTTTCCAACATGTATGTCAACTAGTAAACGGAATGACGTTATACTGCAGGTGTCAAACAATCAACCAAAGGGAAAGTAACCTCAAACCACTGAGAAAGTATTTCACAATTAACACAAAAGCAAATACTGCACTGTAGATGATAGCCAGAATAAGATCAACAGCAACTAGCAGGCACCAACAAAAGCAGATCAGCATGAGCAAACAGCCAGAGAGCTACATCGGACAAGCAACTTGTCCAACTCATGACAGGCATGTTAGAAAAAAAACAACTAACACTTACTTGAAGCAGTGATGCCCGGCATCTTAACAGGTAGCAAGGTAAACCCTTTGGAACAGTGCCTCTAAGTTTCAAGTGGCGGCAACGGTCCTTGAACACAGCAGCTAAGTTAAATGGTAACAGTTAGCTTCTTAATAAAAAAGCCACTTGACCAGTGAAAGCAGCAGCAGCGGTGTTTTTAGCAGTGTTACAGGTGAGTTGTGACGCCGCAAGTGAACATGGGCGACGGCTTAATTAGTCTGCCCAATCAAAAAGGGTGCGTTGGATTTGTGTTGCGGCTAGTTACAGGAACTAACGTTATGCTAGTTCCGAACTAGCTTTCAGGCCCACAATTGTCCTTTTAAACAGTCTCCTGGAAGGACAATACATACAAGTCTTGTTACCTGTGTTATGGTAAATCTAGTGACTTACGGATAACCGTTGGGGAAACACATCTAACACCGGAAGTGGAGGACGCAAACAAACTATGACTTAATTTGGCTAATTGTAACTAAACTTCTAATCCTGTTTGTCAACCTCTCACAGACTGACTGTAGTGTTGTGTCGTTCAAAGAACGTTTCGTTCATTTGACCTAATCTTGTATGTGACTCCGGAGGAACGGGTTGTCTCAGTGAGTAATTCCATAATTTTCACGCATGCGTGAATAGTCTTGGACTCTAACGTTCACTCGTTACACAGCAGCTGCAAGGTCTCCGTCAGCACAGGAAACAGAAATGATCAGTTCACGACTCTCAACTGTGGTTCTCTGGGTTTGAATCGTTCATTTGTCACGTGACAGCTGGCTACAGGCTGTGGCTTTTTATATACAGTCTATGGGCTGTGGTAAGCAGGCAGCTCAGGAAACAGAATTGATTAGTTCACGACTCATAACCGTTGGTCTCTGGGTTTGAGTCGTTAATTTTTCACGTGACATCTCGGCTACTGTGGAGCAGGAATGAACTAATCGTTCAGCGCTCACATGGGTCTTCACTCGGCAGGCTGACCTACTGCCAGCACCGGGGAATGAGAGGCAAGTCTGTTGTCAGGTAACAGTCACTGGACTGACATATCTAATATCTATTTTGATAATTTTGTGACATTTAATAAAGCATAACGTTATTACAGCGCAGTTATGTTGTGCTAAGTTATAGTTTTAACACAGCCGCACCGTAACTTTAGTCCTGCTAGTGTTTACAGCCAACAGCTGATGAGAGTTGTTCTGGGTCCGCTCCACTTCTGAGCCCTGACAGAGTCCTACCGGGAGCTGAATTACCACAGAGGTCGTCTCCTGTCCAAAACAAACGGACCCGGACATTAAACCATCAAAACACAGCCACATAGCAGCGTTAGCGTTAGCCCTGTGGTTTGTTTACAGCTAACAGCTGATCCGGTCCGCCAGAGAACGCAACTTAACTTTTACTTTTTATTTATCGACAGAGCCCTGCTGCTGTTTCACCGGTCCTCACTGGTGAACAACCTGCAGTGTTTGAGATTATTATTAAATCTGTTAAATTTTAATAAGAGTGTGTTTTATTCATCTAGTGTGTCAAGCTTATTACTTCAATATATTCCCTGTAAATCTGATGTTAATACATAGATTTTACTCATGGATAGGCGTTAGGCTACTGTATGAATGAGCACTTTACAGATATAGTGATAGTAATTACTATATATATATTATATAAATGGCTGGTCTGTTAGTATACTCAGGAAAGATTGTGAAAATGGACGGATTTAGCCGGAGTAGTGGCTTAATCGAATATTGACAACATATTTCTGTGGTTTTGACATGGTTTGAATTTGGTTGTGGCTCCATGGGGCTTTATAGAACCGTGATAGAGAAAGATCAAGAGGTGAATTTGTGCATTATGTGCATTACTTTGTCAATTAAAGCAAGCCAGACAGCCTTCTGTTTGAGAACGGCGCTGTTTTTTTTTTATTTGTTTTTTTTTAAATCGCCCACTAGAGGGCTGAAGCACTGCAATAACCAGCCTAGTTAAAATGAACGAAATGACATAAAAAAAGATTAGTTCATTTTAATGAACGAGATTTGGTGACTCGAATCTTTCAAAAGAGTGACTTTTCCCATCACTAACTGACTGAGAAATATTTCTAAACAGCAGTGCAGGAAGTATACTACACTGAAGATACTCTGTTACAAGTGTAACTCCTGAAAAAAGTAAACAAGTATATAACTTAAGCTATGTAGGAGAGAGCGGGGTGATTTGAGCCTGTGGGGAAGTTGAGCCACCCCTTGTTTCTCCACAACCACAGACAAAATTGGTTATATGAATACACATTTTTGAAGAGTTCATCATTTTACTCACCCTGTGGTGGAGAGAGGCCCATTGAATAAGTGATAAGCACATGTAAGAGAATAAAAAAACTGTTTTTTGCCATTCAAAGTGATTTTTTTATGTTCAAGGAGTCTGATTCTTGGGTCTGAACAATTGCAGATAGGTTTGAAAAAATCTTATGCATGTGTTAGTGCTTTAGGAAGTTACAACATGAAGCTATAATGTTTGCATGACGTTACTCTTAAACTCCTATTGTGGATTTGGACAGAGTAGTGGGAGAGGTACAAGCGTGACCAGATGAGAATGGGTGAAATTCGGTGTGGCTACCGGTACATTGAGTGTCAATGACCATTAACACACGTGAAAATCAAAACACAATGCTAAAATTAATAATTTTTGTTCATGAAGTCACCTGTCTGTCATTAGGAAACACACAACAACTGTGGATAGGTAGGCCAATCATGATCTTTTACCTAATTTTTATTTTATTCCTGCGCAACGCGTGTGTCAGATCTTTCGGCGTGGGTGCCTGAAGCTACACTTTCCCTGTCCTCGCGACTGTCACGTCCACTAACCACAAGAAAACAAAAGGGGAAAAGAGCACGAGTGTTACTTTGAGGCTATAACAAGGCTGTTGACACACAATGTGTACAGATAACCTGCAACCCCTGCTGGAGCAAGAGAACTGCACAATGATCAGTATTTAATGATTAATTAAGCTATAATCAAAACTCATAGGTCTGATTTTCGGGACAACCCAGACAGGAGTCTGGACAACGGCTAGTAATTTGAGACTGTCGCGGATCTTTCAGGACGTCTGGTCACCCTAGGAAGTCCGTTCATCAGGTGGCACGGGACATGACGACAAACAGGATGACTTTAAAGGATACATAGATATGAAACAACTATATTTCACTACTAAATGCAATTAAATGTTTGGAACTGCCATTTGAGTTTGCATTATAAAATGCCATTGATGTCACGGACCCCCATGTGGCTCAACTTACCCCCTCATATGAACCACATGAGCCAAGAGTACACGCCAGATTTTGAAAAGTTTATTTTAGATCCAAATGGATTATTCCCAGGGATGCACCACATCCTAAAGACACCAAGTAAAAACTGGCTCAACTCACCCCACTCTCCCCTACATAACTAAGAAAACTCATCAGTTGACATCACAATGTAGTGTAAAAAGTACAAAATTTCCACATAGTGTAAAGCTGTATGAAATGGAAATACTACTAATACTATAAGTAGCTAACCTAAGAAATGCACCCAAGTATTTCTCAACTGCAAAATAGGTCTTCTGAGCAGGGCAGCATTAGGTGGTGAGAATCTAGGTTGATAGGGACACATTTTCTTATCGAAACACTGCCACCAGATACTACATATACTGCAACTCCATTACTCCTCATCATTTTTGTACAATAGCTAGTTAAATATTATTTCACATACATTTTCTCTAAAGTGCACAGCCTCCCACATAAACATTATCAGATTTTGACAGAATGACATCTTCCCACATACTAGTTGGTTGTGACAAGTGATGTATAATATTAATAACACAATACAGTGTTTTCAGTATTGTATTTTATTATGTACTCACCAAATACTAATTAATAGAAATGTTATGTAAAAAAAAAAACAGTTAGTTCAAACTTGTGTCGATGTACAATGGCAGGTACATATCAGAGATGATTGCAGGAAAACAGGAGATTTATGAACATCGTAGTTAAAAATAACTACTTTTTGGTATATTTTGGCAAAGTCTAATATATTGGCTGTCAAAAATGTGTGATGTGGATAATTCATATGATTTGGTTCACTTTAGAAGCTGCGTTTTGTGCAAAGTAAAGTAACCACGCCATCCAGCTCTAATACTCTTTTCTCAATTGTGCTGTAAGACCCTTTCACAAACAGAAATCTTGCTTCCTCACTGATGCAGTGATAATGACAACAGTTCCAATCTGTGAACCGGAGAGACGACAAAATACTGTTTTATCAAATCAAGCTGCTTTACAGTTTCAACCACAGAACACCATGGTGAAATGATTGGGACTTAAAATGAGGCAGACTGCACTACAAATTTCTTCTGGTACAACAAACCAGCTGGTATTGGAAACCTTAAGATATAGGTGATGTGATGGAAATTACATAGTTAACTCTTTTTAAATATATAGAAAAGTATATATTCTTTGTAAACACGCTTAACAGGAAAGTATGAAATAATAATGGAGGGGAGATCTGTTAGTCCATTTGGTTATCTCTCATTACAAAAATAATAATGCAATTAAACACTGAAATTGAAGAAAAGGACAAAATCATTACAGGGTAGAAAGAAAATTACTAAAAATAGATTTTCACACAAGGTGGACATATTTTAGTCTAATGCAATCTAATACAAATTCCCATTTTAAAAATGTGTTTACAATGTGTGTGACATGTGTTATTAAACAGTATTTGTGACCACCTTTATTGGACTATACATTAAAAAGGTGTTAGAATTATTAATCCACCTCCTCTATAATCTGACTTGTAAAAGACAAGTTGCACACATCTCCTCTAAATTGAAGGGATAACTTTAAAATGATATTCTTACTAAATTTTGGTTCTTTCTTTAAATTTTTTTGACTAACTTTCCACCACAGAAATGTAAAAGGCCATCTGTATGGCAGGACACCCCTTAATCTCATGAAGCCTCCTCATGTACCTGGTTTCCCTAAACAGAAAATGACAGCAGAAAGCTATCGTGCACACATCTCCATGTGAATGTAATAATCTACATAAATGGGATTTGTTAAGACTCTTTACAGCATTAAGACTCTTTAGTATATTCTTATAACTAATTATACACTAATCAAGTCACAGAGACTGTGACACCAAGAGCTGTTGCTTGTTGTTTGATTTGATATGTTATTTTTTTCCTCCCACACACCCACATTATTGAAGATGCATGAAGACAACTGAGAAGTATATTTACACATACCATAGAAAATAGGTTCTTCGGCTCTACAAAATCAGCCATATTTTATTGTTTCTTTACCTCGACATGGAGGGCATGACTTTACAAGAATAGCTTGATGGATAACTGCAAAGTAGTATGAAAAAAACAAATGTGGTTTCCCAGATGTGATTAGAATAAAGGGAACGAATCACAGGCACCGACCACATGTTTCCCCCTCTCCTTGCACACTTCTGCCCAGCCAGCTTTCTGCCACCTGGCTTTTATGGCCCCTCGACTCTATATTGGCTTGCCTAATGGTCGTGGAAACCTGGCATGGGGAAGGGCCTGGCAAAAGCTTCTACGCGGTGGCGCAGTTCGGCGATGCGAGCCACTGTCTCTGGGTCCTGAAGAAGGAAGTTCTTGAAGTCTTGGAGCTTTCCTGGAGAAGACAACAGAGGAGAGAGGGGGGAGGGAAGGCTCAGTTTTCAATTTCTTTACTTCCTTCTTTTTTTTTCCCCCCACCACAGGCCTCCCCTTATGTTTCAGTATCCAACAATTTAATATTGCACTTTTGTTGCCTTTCTCATAAGTGCATAGCTTCAAATTATGATTTAAAAAGAAAAGACAAAAAAAGGCTACACTGTAATCTGTCTCCCTTCTCACAGTAGACTTGCCTGTCTTTTTCTTGACGTCCAAGGCAATCTTGAAGCCCTCGTCCATGAACTCGACAACCTGCACAAAGTCAGCTTCTTTGAACTGTCTGGAGGTCAGGGCTGGAGCACCTGTGGCCGAGAAGAACACAAAATCTGCAGCTTGAAATACAAAGTAAGTAGCAATTACTCCCTTTTGCTTTTACAGGCCCAACTGACTCCAACTATTTTTTTTTCTACTTACCAACCATATGGTCTTTGGGAAAAAAAAAAAAGAACCCTGGAGCTACTTAAAATTTTAGTAATGCATCTACACAGACTCCAGATGTGTCAAACATACACTGATACTAATGGCTGATGGGTCACTAAGGTGCAGCCCAAATCTCAATATAATAAACAATTAATAGAACCTCGCCTTAAGACAATGCTATAAATGTGGCAGTGTAGATGGGGAGCTCTTGAACTTCCTGGAAGATGATTAAAAACCCAAACATGCTAAATTAATCATGATGTGCTCAGTGCTTGTGGCTTAATTGGTGGCTGACTAATTTCCATATGCAGAACTACATTTTAAGTAAAACAGATTACGTGAAGAGGAAGTGCAAAGTAAATTTGACAGAAAAACAACTCACCTTGTAGTTAAATATTGAACACATCAGGCTGAATAGCAGACCAGCATATCAAAAATTATTATCTTGACAAAGTGGTGATATTTACACATGTTTTGAGATTTAAAACCTTTTGTATATACAAACCATAAAATGTGGTTTCTGATTATACCCTTAATAAGTATGACAAAACCTTAAAGTTAAATGTAATGTAACGTGAAGTTTACCAAGCCTGAGGCCACCAGGAGTCAGGGCACTCTTGTCCCCGGGGCAGGTGTTCTTATTGGCAGTGATTGACACGAGCTCCAGCACCCTCTCAGCCCGAGCCCCATCAATGCCCTTAGGCCGCAGGTCCACCAGGACCAGGTGGTTGTCGGTCCCACCTGAAATATTCAGCATTTTTAGTCATAACTTTTGAAGAGGAGGAAAGTCGGAGACTGTAAAAACAGACTTCACTTTTAAGCCTTTGATTAGACCACCTCAACTTTACTTTAACATGGATGAGGTAATTTTACTAGATTTGTGAGCTTTAGGATATGAAACTGAATGCAGTTAATTAAATGACTGTTGGGTAGTGTGTTATCAGGTCTAGACATGGGCCAGTTACCGGTTTCAATGTATCCTGCTGTATGCAAAAAGTTATTTCTGTTATAGCGTTGCTGTGGTATGAGCCGCTTTTTTGTCTTGTCAAATACAGAAAGTGCAGGAATCCTGCAGGTTGGTTGTGAGCAGCATAGCGCAAAACACGCCCTCTCCTCAGTCACCTGTGTGTAGGATGGCCGAAGGAGGGGAATCCCTGAACATTGTGTGTGTGCGCATGACACACTTGCGCTCTCTCTCTCTCCTTATGTTTATATGTGCATCAACACTGAAATAATAACAATGGATTTTATAGCGTTATTTGACATTATTTTTAGCAGCAGTAGAATATCTTATTGCTTAAAAGTAAAAAATTGTGTTCAGTGGAAAAAAGGTGATGTTTTTTACCCAGACATTTAAAAACACATTTTAGAGCTGTAAGCGCGATACCTTGATACTCTTGCTTAAGGTTACCATACCGTGAAAGTCTCATAGCGGCCCATGCCTAATCAGGGCCTCCAATGAATCACATCTTCACCTTTCCCATACATTTCCCCATGTTTATATACATATCTGCTTTGTGTCAATCTGAGAACTGTAGGTTTACTTCATTCTGGGACATGAAATTCTGTCCACCCTTTTAATATCAGTGAGGGTATATAATGCACTCCAGGTCAAGTGCACCTGCAGCCTCCAATATGACCATAAAGTTGAATCAACCAAACATCATTCATGAAGGAGGACTTGTTGCAGGACTGTTGTATTAGACCGCATTAGTTTTAGCTAGGTGTTCCTATAAACTGGCAACTGACTGTATATTATTACTAAAATGTGCATACTTGAAAATGCCTACATTTTCCTTCAGCCATTAATGTAACTAACTTACCTAAGGTAGCGCCACACTCCTTTTTTTAATGTTTCGTATAGACTAACAGTATTCAACACCCCTTTCTTTTTTACACAACATCTACAAAGGAGTGGGAAAAGAATGGAGAATGCACACAATGCAGTGTAAGCACAGCACTCTGTGTTGTTTAGGGTAGCAATTGAAGGCTATACATCAAAAAAAAGCTGAGGCCAGCGAATTAAACGCAGTACAATATTCAAGCATTCATTCACAACCAGAAACAGACCACTTTCATCTGGTTTTATTTTCTTGACTGACAGGACAGCTACACTGACATTAGCCTTCTGCACATCATGAATTTAAATGCTATTCTGGTGTGTAATCTGCATTTTGTGACAGGACATTACTCTTTATTGACTTGTGTTTTTCTGCTTCTTGCTGCGGTTTGCTGAGGCAGTGTCTCCCAGGAAATAATAATAAAAATAAAAAAAGAATGCTTAAATAGTTGCTTAATGCTTAAAAAAGTTAGATTACCTGATACCAGGGTGTAGCCTTTGCTGAGGAGAGCTGTAGCCATAGCCTTGGCGTTCTTTAGTACCTGGCTGATATACTCCTTGAACATGGCAGACTGTGCCTGGCCAAACACAAATTAACAATGGAAGGCGGTTGAGCTATATAGACAGACTTAAGTTAGATTAAGTTTTTTGTTTGTTTAAGCTCAAGAAATGATTTGAGAGTTATCAACACGTCATGAGAGACATTGGCTTCCCATCATCTTTAACAGATTATATTTCAGTAGCACAGCATTAGACAGTTCACACTTGAGAAAGAGAAGGTGCAGATGTGCACAGTAGCTTAGGGAACAAGTTCCTGAGGTAAGATTTTGTTTCACAGTAAAATCTGATCATCAAATTCTCATTAGGAAATAGAAGACCAGGGTAATAAAGTGTTACATCAATACAAATAAAGTTAGTTACTTTTGCATTGTATGCAGTTTGTGTGTTGTGCTGACCTGTCTGAGCGCCACAGCCACACCAGCGATGGCATGGTTATGAGGTCCACCCTGCAGTGAGGGAAAGACCGAGAAGTTGACCTTGTCCTCCAGGTCGTAAATGATCTCTTTCCCCTTCTTATCCATCGAGCGGACACCCTTACGATAGAAGATGAGGCCAGCCCTGAACAGAACAGACTAATTAACTGACAAAGCATTTTTACCTTTTTATTTTTCTCTAAATCCCAAAAAAGGTATCATCCTTCATAATTTGATTTGTCGCTATGCATGGCAGCTGTCTGATTAGGAGGGTATCATGACGTCACAAAATACTACTAAAGACAACAAATAATTTTCATGATGCTCTAAAAGGTATGTGACAGGGAGAAACAATAATGCACTGCTATTGAGCCTCTTAGACCCTAACTTCAGTCACAACAATGCAACAGTTCTAATGAGACATTTCTGACTTTTCTGCTGCTCTTACCTGGCTCCTCTGAGGGATTTGTGTGTGGTAGTGGTGACCAGGTCAGCATATTCAAAGGGAGAGGGGATGGCTTTGCCTGCCACCAGGCCACTGATGTGGGCCATATCAGCTAGCATGTAAGCCTTAATGTCAGTACACAGCTGAGGGTGAAAAGGGTGGAAAAGAGGGAACAAACACAAAATTAGGATTAGAATTTATAGCATGAGGCAGCACATTTTATATTACATTTTTATTTTATAACTTTTTTGTACAAGCCCACAGTCATGAAATTACTGCCTTATAAACAGTGAACTAAGTTTGCTCCAGAGCTTTGGATTTAAAATGAAACAGTGAGTCAGTTTGAAGTGCTGACTCAAGGTGTTTGCCCCTCCAGATTTACGGTGTAGGAACAATACAATCTTATACATAATCCCTTACTTTTAGGTGACCAAGTCATTAGACAAGTTCAGATAGAAGTCAGTAACGACCTTAAGTCTACAAACTCTACGAAACTTCTTAGGTTCTCACCTGTTTAGGGGGGTGGGGGTGGGGTTTGCCTTCAGTTTGATCTTTAGCAAGTGAACAAATACTCAGTCTGATTGAAGTCATTTAGCATTTTAGTGTTTTGCCATGAAAACCTCTTCAGCTGCCTTTTCAGTATTCTTGTTAAAATTGTGGGACTATGAACAAAAAGTCTACACTGCTAATCCAACATAGATGGGAACACACTCAAACCCCTATAATGCTGAGTGTCAGCACTTCAGCCTCAGCCACTGATGTAGTGTCCTGGAGCACAGAGTAAAAATGTGCACTGTCCAAATATTTATTAACAGCACTGTCTTTGCATTTATTATTCTTGATATACAGAGTGCTACCAGAAAGGACTTTACTATAAAACTAAACTACTATTTGACTGTGCTCCAAGTAGAAATGCAAGATACAATCTCTTAGCGCTATCCATTTATATAATTCCCCCATAGTTAAGACTAACTACATCTACATCTGTTAGCAATACCTGTCTTCTCCAAGGGCAGATATTTCAATTCAGAGCTGGTGTTATTGCACTCTTCCACAGTCTTCAGAGGCCCGAAATATTACAGTGTAATTCAATAAATCCTTGCCGTCTCTTGCCAACATTTATTGAAAAAGGCACAAACAATAAATAGCTCGCTAACATGCAAATGACTCGCTGGCAAATGATCAGAGCAGTAAACAATCTTTTTAGTGCTCCAATTAATATGCATTATCATGACAATCTCCCTTCCTTTCATATCTAAACTGGATCAGCGCATGTTTATTAGATTAAAAGGCAGGATAGATGGCAAGGTTACTGGAGGGGGTAAAGAACACAAGAGGGTGATGTGCGGTAGCTGATGAACGTCGGTAGTGAAACAAATTTCAGATACAAAAAAAAACCCCTACTCCAATCTAAGTAACAACACTGAAAATCTGGAGAGGAGCCCGGCCTGGCAGATTCTGTCATAAAACAGTGAACAGTTTCACACACATGCCATGGGGAAAATATGGCCCCACTTCAGGCCTAGTGGCAAAGTAGTTATGGTGCTTAATAACAACACAGCTCTGTAATGGTGGGACACTCCATCTGATGGTACTAGCTAAAGTGGAGCTCTGCAACAAAAGGGAAGCAGTCATGGAGTGAATGAAGTGAATGAGCGGGTGGGTATAGCAAAACAGATAAAAGGGGCCTCTTGTGCACTGTCAAAGAGAGCAATGAAGTGTGCAGTTAAAAGTTGCTGCTGTATGAGTCAGTGCGAGTATCCACGTTCAGTCCGGATGAGTAGGCAAGAGAGGAAGAAAGCATTTTTGTTGAGTGCAAGTGTGAAAGACCCTAGAAAATTGATTTGTATTTGGAAATGTTGCCGTTTGAAAGTGAATGCTCGGTATTTAGAGCAGACAGGTCTCTGCTGGGGCACAGAAATTAACGAAGATGTGGTTGGAAGTGATCCCGGCTAGGTGCGACCTATCACTAAGGGAGGCAGGTGAGTGTGAAAGTTCGGTGATAAAGGCTGACGGAGTTTTAAATAAAAAGACAAAGCTGGTCTGACCTCCCTAATGCAGGATGAGAAGTGGAGAAAACAGGTAGCGGGTGAGTTTGAAATACAGAGAGAGTTCTCCGTGCACCTTCTTGATGCGGGCGTAGTCAATGAGGCGGGCATAGGCGCTGGTGCCAGCGATGATGAGCTTGGGCCGGAACAGCTTGGCCGTCATCTCCATCTGGTCGTAGTCTATGAGTCCTGTTGCAGTCTGCAGAGACAGGGGGGGGGCAGATTGAGGAGAGAGAAAATGAGGCAGAGAGGGAGGAAAGAAGTGGAGGATAAATATAAAAACGTTAGAGGGAGTGTTAGAGGGAGAGTAAGGGTCAGGGGGAAGAAAAAGGAACATGAGGATGAAAAAAAAAAAAGTTGTCAGATATCTTGAGGATCAAGAGCAAACATATCAACACGGAAGAGAGATTTTTTACCATTTGAAGATCATTTGATGCAGCTGCATTTGAAGTACTTTGGCTACCTTAAAAAGGGGAAGGGATTTATCTAAGGGAGACATTTCAACCCATCACATCAAGGAAGAAGATGGAGCAATTGCAGTAATGCACCCCTACTTATCCTAATTCAGCCTTTCAGGGATCACTCAACTGGTGTGATGAGGCTGAACAGATCAGACGTTGGTTTGGGGACTTTTCCCTGCTCTTTTCATTGAGATACGCAATTTGAGAAATATGTTAGACAAACCATTGTTTGGGGGATGTACTTCAAAAGTCACATGAAATGGAGTCGACTAGTGTGCCTGAATATCCAGTTTTACCCCTCTACTCCTCCGACGAGCACAAGAAAAGAGAGACACTACAGGCGAGGGAAAGAGAGCAGCACGGAGAAGGAAAAACAAAGTGAGAGACAGAAAGGATAGAGAATAAAAGGAGACACAATGAAGAAAAAGGCGAGAGGAAAGGAGGAGGGAGAGCTTTATTTAGACAACCTGATAATCTCCCATCTCCAGAGCACATCTATGGATGCCCCCTCACTCCATCAAGCTGCTCATTGTGAAGACAGAGCCAGTGGTGCTGGCCAGCCTGTCGATTTCCCATTATCTCTCTCGCAGAGGGGTCCTGCCTGCCCATACATCAGCGGGCCTGGGCATGCAGACTCTCATGGCCATCCATCAGCTGCTACCAACACTACCACACAACCATGACCCCGGGAATAAAACACTGTACACTAAAATACGATGCACACTCATCATATCAACATGTTGACTCAAAAAAATTACGTCACTTCTGAGGGAACCTGGTAGTACAGATCTCAATGAGTGATTTACATACTATACTAAACTAATAGCACTGTATGGTTGCATTGTGAGGGACATCAACCAAAACATCTACATGCAAGCCCTTCTGTCACCTAGCATCTGCCAGCAAGTGTCTGCTGGGCTGAAGTTTGAGTTAGCGACTGTACCCCTAACCACACTGCCTTGGTGTTATTCCTTCGGGGGCATAAGTGCAAATAGGATTTCCCAAAAAGGGAATCAATGTTTTTATTACACTTTTTCTTCTTTGCTGTTTATTTTGAATCACTATCTTGTTATTGAATTCGTTCTCAGAGGAAATACCAAGACCAGCATATTTGCCATTTGAAATGTAGATGTTGGTGCTCATTGTACTCTCTACTTACTTTAGTCAATGACTCCAGGGTCTGAAATTAGTTTTTTTTCAGGCAGGTTACTGAACATTTCTACCAGCCACTCAATTTGTTTGACACTCTTCTTATAAACACTGAGTCAGTGGTACCTGGCTGTGGACATATGGAATATATCATGTAACCTTAATCCCTTGCTATTCTTTCCTTAAGAATTGCTTTTTAAATTAAAAGAATATGACGAAAACCTATCTGTCATGGTGGCAGGTGACCTGAAATTTTTACCTGCCACAGCAAACATTTACCCTGTATTTGCCAGGTGGCAGGTGCTAATTTCATTCCATGACTCAAACAGAAGTAATTTAAAAAACAAAAAACAGTGCGTACATTTTGATCAAAACAACAAATGTGGTATATTCTTCACATTTGATACCTACTGATAAGGATGACTGAAATCACTGTGTACTTTACTGCCAACATAATGACAGCAATATCTATTAAAAAAAAGAAAAAAGTATGGTTTATTATAAGCAGCACATACACTACATATTTTATGTCGTGGAGGTACAGGCACAAACTGGTATTTATCCAGTCCATTTTTCTTTTTTTACAGATTTACAGTGAAGGGGCTTAAGAAAATTCAGTTAGCAAGGAACACATCTTAACTCCACAACATAACGTACAACATATTCACTTGCAAACGTTCACTTACAGTCTTGGTGTGGTTCCTACATTAATACCAGCACAATCTTTTATGTCAACCGACAACTTTAAAATTAAGGGCAGAAACTGACAAAGCAGAAGAGATAACTAAAACACATGAAACCTTGTAGAGAGTGCTACAGCAGAACAAGCAATGCTTTCCACTGGCAGGTATCAGATATCTAAGACGGTAGATCCTGACACATCAGCAGTTCTGACCAACAGTACTGGTTCATGTCGGTTCATGAGTCAGAACAAATTCCCTCCTATTGCCTTGACATGAAAGGATGAATCATGGCTTGTATCGCTGTTGTCCCATTCCCATCAATTTTACTGGTGATACTGTTCCTCACCATTACCAAAAGAGCTGACTGTTTATCACTGGTATAGGAAGTCATATCAGCTGTAGGGTTCTCTACTTACATTTAGCTTGTAGGGCATGGACTCAAAATAGATTGAGGTTGCTGAGATCCTCTTCACATCGGACATGTAGCCATGAGTCAGACTGGGGATCAAAAAGAAACATGTGGTCAGTCAAATGTGCAGGAAAAAAGGAGGTAAAATGCATGTCAGTAGCCACATTTCCATCTAATAGTCAAGTAAATTTGAAGCAAACATTTGAAATGTTACAAAAAAAGAAGATTACAAAGAAAGAAAACTGGATACTAGCAAATGATACAAGCAAGCCCATATGAAAGTGACTGAGCGGTGTTAACGAAAGAGCAAAGCACCTGCAGGACCGACACGCCGTCCTCTATAAAGAACCTGCAGAGGTTGGAGATGTCTCCCCTTTCAGCATTACTGAAGTATTAAACAAGATGGCCCAGTAAACTGTTGTTTATAAGATAGTTGTCCTGTTGTTTGCTTAACAGACAATTCTCAAAACAAAGCTAATGCCCCTCAGAGCTATCTGACTGAGGAATCTCAGACAGCAGACTTTGAGTTGAAAATACTTTGACTAAAGCATAGTTTCACAAGAAGTTGCCAGTAAAGGCTACTTTACGCTGTGGCTGTAAAACCGAGAAGAAAATGTAGAAGTTGACAAACAAAAGTAGCTAGAAACAAAACCACTTTTCTGCCAACCACCAATAAAATCCAAAGAGACTGAAGAAAACACAAAACTAGTCACCTTGGCCATCCAAGAGGAAAAAAAAATGGAGGGGCAGAATTCCCTAACCCTTCTTCTCCTCCTCCTCCTCCTCCTCCACCTCCTCCTCTCAGAACAGAAACAGCTGATCAGACATGTGAGTTTACATTTTACATCACAACTTCTTTTAAAAAGGTGTTTCCTCTCGGTGTCGACTCTTTTTCAATTGAGCATAAGAACCTTTCTGAATAACTGAGGAGGTTTGTTTGAATTTTGCCATTTCTATCAACCTTTTCTAATGCAGTACCTGAAAATGCACGCAAAAAAACAAACAAAGAAACAGGGACAGAAAATTCTAACAGGAGAAAATAAGTGACAGGGTGAGGATTAAGAATAAAAAGAAATAGCAGTGACTACTGACTGTCCTCCGTCGGGCAGGTCCAGGCCCATGATGCGGTCATGGGGGTTCAGCACGGCGGTGTAGACGGCAAAGTTAGCAGGAGAGCCAGAGTACGGCTGGACGTTAACACCCCACAGAGCTGGGTCCAGGTCAAAGGCCTCCAGGGCTCGTTTCTCACACAACAACTCAATTTGGTCAACCACTTCTGCTCCACCATAGTATCTGAGGGTGGGGTAGGAAAAAAAAAAAATATAGACACTCTTCGGCCATTTACTTACAGATTCATCTCTCCTGCAAATATCCTTCTGGATTCAGCTCCAATAGTAATTAAATTCAAACCCGCAATAATGTTTTTTGCCACAGGAAACAAGTTATGAACAATGACATATCATCCCATTTTAAGTCGATATGGCGGGCTTGTTAGAACATAGTTTCTTATTTATAAGAAAGTGTATGGGGAGCAACATTATCACTTATTCAGGGTGTCATTCAAAGTCGTGTTTCTCGTGTTTTTGGTCTCTACCAGCTCCTGAGGGAAATATTTAACTGCTAACTGTTCCAATATGTTCACCAGCTAGTCGCTAACTTTTTCTGTCTGCCGTTTGGTGATGAGCAGGTGTACACTGAGATTTTAAAGCTTTTTCGCTTGAAACAATGCTATGAGAGATGTGAGCTGAATGTCACTCTAAAGCTCTGTAAAGCCATGAGGAGCTGCAAATCCAGGTGATAATTCTCTGTAGGTTCACTACAAGCCCCTTTCACATTGTCATTTGATAAATTGTTATTATAAATATACTGGTTATAGCTGCTTTCAGTCAATATCAACAGTGCTTGTTACCAATCATGCATTTGCCAAAAATGGCACTGTTGGTCACAAAAACCTTTTCAGAGGAATTACAGATGAAGGAGCAACAGATGACTACTGTACAAACCACTCATTCAATGAGGTCACCCTTTTGTTTCATTACATTAAAGTGTAAAACAGCAGATGAGTAGGATGTGGGGGGAAAATAAAATTAAAACCACAGTGGGAGGGAGATTTATAGTAGGCTTGTATTCCAGGAATCAAAGGCATAAACTGAGAACCATTTCAAAACATGTCAGTTCTCTGTTTGCTGCTGATAAATGTGAATTATCTGAGGGAAATAACAGAAAATAGGAAAACTGAAAATAGAAAACTATCAGCCTGGGCACTAAATTCTTCCAATGTATCCCCCCAGGAACTTTCTTTGGCAAGGCAGAGGCTGTGGATTATTTGCAGTGTGGTTGGCATGTATTATTATAGGGCAAGCTAGAGAACACAGAATAAATCAGTGTCTATGTGCGTGTTTAGGTGTTCATGTCTGCAAATATAACAAATATCCTAAAGCAAAGAATATCAACAGTGTTAATAAGCTGGGTGTGACTGAATGAACACACTCACCTTCTCCCTGGGTAGCCTTCAGAGTATTTGTTGTTCAGACAGGAGCCCAGAGCTTCCAAAGCTGCTCGACTGCAGAAATTCTGTGGTGAGAGAACGAACACACACACACACACACACACACACACACACACACACACACACACACACAGATCAATGGCGCAAGTGGACAGAAGGGACAAGGACCGCAAATTAAAGTCCGTTAAGTGATAGTAAGAAATCCCCCTCCAGCTAAAGACAATCATTACAGTATTGAACCTCTGGACTTCCATAGACTAACACTGCACTTCACAATGCTTATCGCCTCGCCGCTGGAGGATACGAGATAATGTAATAATAAACTTTCCTGCACATGCTGGGATAGATTGGTGTGGCCATTTTTAATCACTTTGCAATGCATTTTTCAAGAAAAACAAATTTTAATTTGTATGGTTTGCTGCTAAAGGGATAATTATTCTCCAAAAGTGATTCTTTGTATCTTGTCTGTGTGCTGCAAGATGAAAAAGACATGTCAAATAAACACATTGTATTAGCTTGATTTCAGTATTCATTCCTTGAAGTTATTTTAGTGAATTTCTTAATACTATCAGTGGAGTTAGACCAATTAAAATCTGGCTACTGAATTACAATACTGTTTTTTTGATTGCCATAAAGCTACAACAATTAGTTGATTAAATCAGTAGGATTCGGTATCGTTTGGGGCTTGTTGACAATTCCGTTGCCAAATTGAGCCTTAAAAAAAAAAGAAAAAAAAGGGCTTTAATAAAAAAAAATTATATTTAAAATTTAACTTTAACTTTTTGTTGATTGAACAGAAAAAAGGTCAATCGACAAATTTAAGTGGCACCGAAAAGAGGTACCGCAATTTGCATCCAGAAGGAACTGGTTCCATATTGGTACCGGGTTTCAGTGCCCAACCCTTTTAAATCAGTTGTTCAAACAAAGACTATTAGATCTTTTTGTTTTGGACTATTGGTTGGAAAAACAAGCAGTTTTAATAAGCCCTTATAATACCCTGACCCACAACTGACCCACAAGACACTCTCCCCATAGGTATTGTACATATTGACAGTACAGGATTGGACATTATACAAAATGTTGAAGTATACAAGAAAAAGCCATGTTAATTTAAAGAGCTATTTATATTTAAGATGCTAAAAAGAAGTAAGGCTACTGCTGGATGTGAAAAAAACATCAAGTACCATGTTCTTTTTATACCAGGGTTGGGCACTATGGCTTAGTAAAGCCCCCTTAAACACTGTATACAAGGTCACACACACACACACACACACACACACACACACACACACACACACACACACACACACACGTCTTTACTCTGTCTATTGTTCAGGTGATGTGTGTGGTTATGCTAATGCTTCACCTAGCCAAGAGGAGATCAAGGGAGATAACAGCTCCAGTAACAGCTTTGTGCTGCGTCCGTCTGTCATGCCAATGACTGTGCATATATTAAAAAAGGAATTGCATTTGCTTCTCAGCGTCTTTAAGTGTGTGTGTGATGGGGGGGGAATAATGTATGTCTTTTCATTCATTCCTTCCCTGCCTGAGTTGTACTGTGATGTGCCTTGCAGAGTGAGTTGGGGAGGAGGCGGAATGAAGATATCAGTTTTATCTCACACTAGAGCGGTCAGGCTTTTTGTAGAGAGAGGGCTGATATACTCCACTGAACAACTACTGTGGCGAAGAAAAAACAGGCGGGGATCGAAAGAACATCACAAGACAAAACCTTGTCTGCTCTTTTGAATAGTAAAATTTCCCAAAATCCAGCCTTGGAATGAAAACAAAGTTACCCAAATGTTTCTGTAACAAGTGAGCTATTCTGCTAACATTTTCAAGAAGCCACGTTTGAATGATCTGATGTGAATTCACTTGTCAGAGTTTATGATATCTGTTTTATCATGTTTGAGACAGAAGGTCGCAGTTTCTCTGGCCTAGCAAGCCAATGAAAATACTAAAAACCAGCAAATTTACTCTTATAAAATATTAAAACATACAACGGCAAAACAATTTAGGAATAAATTATCAAAAATGTTTTTGCAGTGTATGGCTTTTATGCAAATATGTATATAATTTAAGGGTGGTGATGGCTTGATGTAACCCCTTGTTGCTCCAGAGGCGTGCAACCTCTGACTTGTATAGCAATTGTAAGTTGCTTTGGATAAAAGCATCAGCATGAAGGAAAATGTAAAATAATTTGTTGTACTTGATGTGCTGTGCTATATTTATCTACAGTATGAGGCTTGACAAAACACTGATACAGGCTTTCTGTTAATGCCGCCAGCAGTAATATGAAGAGAAAAAAACAAAAAACAATAGATATCCATGAGTTAGCAAGTCTATTCATTCATTCATTTTGCAAAAAACTTTAATCAGAGGTGCTGAAGCATTCTCAGCTTCCTGCACTGCCAACATATATAGGGGATGTGCTGGCAGCTCTTACAGGCGTCGAGTGACTGTCTTTCTTTAAAAATGAGTCAACTCAATCAACACAAAAATTCTACAGAATGGGACTTTATCTTCTACTAATAGGCTGTCTGAATGACAAACCTTTTTACTATAATTCAAACTATCTGCCAGCATGTAAATTCTAAGACAGCATCTTTAAAGGCACTGACCAATGATGTCCTTGCCTGACCAATCAAGAGGTTCAAGGAAATGCATTAGTGTGCCAAGGCTATCTGGTAATCATCCTTCATTCCCATCATTTACTACTTATAATCAGGCTTGAGAACATCATACGTCGTCACCATTTATTTTGCATCCCATTCTTCCCATCTCTCACCACTGTAAAGTGAATTTAGCAAAAAAAAACAAATACATTGATATTTTCAGAAGAGAACAACAGAGATTAAAGTGAAGAAAGAATTTTGACTGAGGTAATTGTGGAAACGCAAACTTGAATTTAACAGCATCACCTTGAGATAAGAGTGACATTATATGTGCCTGAGTACTGGGTGAAATGTTCAACCCACCTCCAACATTTTGTTTCCCAGTTTTAAAGTTTAAGATGCACAAAACAAACACAGAAAAATATGAAGGAAGTGTCACGGGATCTAAATAAAATAAAGAACTATGATCTGCACACCCGACTGTCAGCAAGTCCTACTTGCGTCACGTGGGGATTTGAACCCTGAAACTTCAGACCTCCAGAGTAGGTGACTTACTGACTGAGCTACTGGTGAGAGCTGTTTCCACACACCTTCTCACAAATTGAGGCAGTGACATCACATGTGCCAAACCCGAATATTCTTGTCAGTTTAAACTGTCAAGATGTTGGTAAGAAAACAAAATCACACATCATTCTGGGGTGTGTTGTAAATTATTTTGATGGCATTTGATCCAAAACTGAGCAAACAAGAAAATGTTGTGCATACTGTACAAGCTGGGAATTGTTGGGCTTCTGTAAATATCAGAGTATGGTCTAGACCTGCTCTTTTATGAAAAGCGCTGTGAGATAACTGTTGTTGTGATTTGATGCTATATAAATAAAACTGAATTGAAGTTACAGCAAAATACTGAATATCACTGCAGACTCACCGTTTGACTGATTTAAAAACTCTTAGAAACACTTGAAATCAGCCATCTAGAGAATGTCTGTGTTGATTTTGGTAGCGTTTGAAGAAAGACTTGTGGAGATATAGATGTTAATTGATTTAGCATATTCTGAAAAACAGAGTGACTGACTTCTGAATTGACCATAGGTTGCAGTGAGGCAAACGTTTGTCACATATCAATAGATAGGCTGAAAAATGTTCAGCTCTCTAGGACGTAGGCCAATTTTCTTAGATTTTTGGAAGAAAGAAAGATCCCTAAAAAAATCATTCATATCTGAGAAAGATGTTTTACCTCAGATGCAATGAGCTCCAAGCCGCGGCTCTGCCTGTCCTTTTCCTTTCGCAGCAGATCCCACATCTCGGGGTCGTCCTGAGCCAGGCTTTCTTGGCCCGTCCATGGACGATCTTCATCCACAGTACGAGTGGCGGCGTGGGACTGCTGGCCGCGTACACAGACACGAACTGGGGCTCGCTGGCATAGCGGCTGTGTGACAGAGGAGATGCAGAGAAAGGAAAAGGATTAATTGAGACTATATTTGTGTTACTGATGTAACAGTTATGGTGAACCCATTTTCTAGTACTGGGTCACTGCACTATATTGGGTCATGTAGGAGTCTGGTATAAGCAACCAAAATTTGGGGATTTTTTTTTTTTTTTCTCCCCTCCTTCATCCACACCTGCAGATTTTGTTATTTAACCAAAATCTTACTGCACTGCAGATGACCATAGCTTTAATAGAAGTACCATAAAAAGATGAGCACTTTTATTTATTTTTTACAACTGGTGTATGAATTTTGAGTTCTATTATCTATGAAGATTAAACTAGTTGGGGCCCCAGAATGTCATGAAAAAACAATTTTTCTACAGAATATATTTGATCATATTACATATTTGATGTAACAGCCTGATTTGTCCTATATAAATAAGGAGACATTTCAAGTCCCCTCCTCCGTTCCTCATACTCTAATGTGTAGCCTGGTATAATTAGATACTGGCGTGTTTGTGTGATATCAATAATCAGCATGGTTGTTCAATTATGCTTCTATCAGCACTTCCACAAACTGAAGTACTGACTTTTACAGCCTCAGTGTACCGAAGGAGGCATATAGAGAACAGACTCAGCACTTCCTGCTTATCTAATCTGGACTGAAGCTGGCGAGTTCTCCTCCTGCTGCTGCAATGCCTGATCATGCGAGTGTGCAGAGTCCATACAATTTTCATGGTTTCTGGATTTTTCCCAAGTTAAACATGAATCCTATATACTGGGTACAATCCAGGTTCATCTATGCACTATGCCTCTGATATATTATCTTAAATTGCTGGCTCCAGTAGTAGATTCTTTGCATAGATAATATAAAAAAAAAGTATTAAAATATTGTCATGTATTAAAGCTGTATGTGTGCCCTTCAGTGCATAAGTCCCCTTTATAAACCTCAATCAACAGGAAGAGCATTGTGTGGGAGAACACAAAGAGGTTTAAAAAAAAATCCCTGACAGGTTGATTGCACTCAGAACAAATTGGCTTTCTTCCATCATTTAATCAACAATATGATGATGACTCTGTGTTCAGCTCAATCCAACCACTGCCAACATATAGTTATCATCTGTACAGGTGTGCTGGGGTGTGAGGGACAACCTCCCTTTAATAGCACCATTAAAAAGCAATTAACACAATGCTCAGGACTGGTTAAGAACAGCCATATGAAAGAAAATGTGGTGGGTACTTAGTCTTTTTTATAATGGCTTTATTGCATTGTCAATCTAGCAAAATAAACCAACTCTGTAGTTTGTAACACCTTTTAAGACAATTATTTTTTAATAATTTTAATGTTGGACAGAAATGATAAAAGCTGCATCAAATGGGGAATCTTCTCTGTAGAGATGCACCAGTGACCGGACCTGCAGCACTTTTTTTTTTTGAGATTTGTATAAGTGATAATGACAGAAGGTCCTGTAACCTGGTGCAGTTTTGGTGAAAATGTTAAAATCTTCATAAATAGTCATTGTTTTATTAAGAACATACAATTGAACGGACCCCAGAAAGAAAAGCCAATGCTTATGTTGGTGCTAATTGGGATCTTAACAAAGAAATAAATAAAGGATTTTGCATTAAAGAAAAGTTACAGAAATGTTAAAAAAGCTCATACTTTTAAAAAACTTGGAATCATCCGAAAAAATTGCGATCGGTGCATCTATTCTTCTCTACAATGCAAAAATGACCAACTGTAATCTTATAATGCAACAGTTAACAAGAACCCTTTATCCTTAACAACAGCTTGCAGATAGTTTATCTACTCCATCGCTGTTCAGCCCATCCTCTCTACTCCGCCTCTTCATCTGCTTGCCGGGGTGGCAGAGGGGACAGTGGTAACACACCAGGGGAGGCGTCTGGCACATTAATGACCGATTTCTAACTGTCTCTACTATGGCCTCCTGTCACCAGTGGCAATGGTGATTGTGGAAAAGGGGAGAGGCCCTCCCCTCTGGGTTCTGGAAGAGATGAGGGCCTGGGGAGACAGGTCAGGCTGCTTCTGAGGACGCGTTTCTTGCAGAGAAATCACACGGGTCATTAAATCTTGACGGGAACTGTCCTTCGCTGTCTGCGTTTCTGCTGGGACACACCAAGACCGGGGAAAGCAGTGGCAGAGAAACCAAATACAAGTCAACGCTGCTATGGTTCGCACCACTGACAACTGCAAATCAGACAAGGGTGCCTCTCCCTCCTCCGTCACCCCTGCTTTCCTTTTCCCACCCTTGTCCTGTCCCCGAAATGTCACTAATGCTGCTAAGCAAGCTCAGCCTAGTAGCACTCGTGTGGCGTTTTTATTAGTTCGTCTTGTCATCAACATCACTTCCATGGCGTCCCACAGCGTGGGCCTAAACAAACAACATGCAGGTCAGTCCCTGTGGTCTGCCTCTCCACTTTCCTGCCTCATTTGCCAGCCCTGATCATAACGGGAGATTAATTAATAAACACAGGGTAAAATGATCCAAGAAAAGTGAGAGCCGAGATACAAGCACCAAATATGTCACAGTGGCCCTATTTTTAGGCGGCAGATGACACCGTCGTTTGAAGGTGAACTTGATGAAAACTCTGCTGTGAGAAAAGGGGTGGGATATGCCACATCAACCAGGGCGCCAAGCACGAAATAATGGCAGTCACAGATGTGCTGCATCTGCATGACATTGATACGGTAATTATTGGCCGTTTACCATTCCTGAACAAACATCTGTGCCCAAAGACAGAGAAGAAAATCATTTCATTAATCCTAGTTCTGTTATATTTTGCCCATTTCCTGAAGCAGCTCCTGAGGCAAGTCAATTTTACAGATGAATGCTGTCCATCAGCGACTAGGCTATACCAAAGAACAATCAACCTGGTAACGGAAGAAAAACAGAAGGGACATGAGAGGAGAAACAGTGAAGAAAAGAAAGATATAAGGTTAGAAAGAAGAAGTGTCAACAGGGCAGCTGCATCCCTCAGTCTGACACAAAGTTGCCTTGCTTTCCCTGTCACTGACTAATAGCAGGGCTGTCCGTTACAAATTGCCCTGTGATTCAGTCTGGATAACACTAGACTGAGAAATCTGGATGGGGTGAAGAGGCGTGAAGGGACGGAGGCAGAGTCCAGTGCGACTCCACTCTATTCAGGTCAAAGGGATGTCAGGGTGACAATCAGAGACTTATGCGATGCCGGCAACAAAGCCAATCTTCAGGAGGTGTAGGCAGCGGAACAATACATTTTTCGTGTAATCGTTCCACAACACTTCTTATGATGGCATAGATGATGGTGAAAGAGCTCTACACTGGACTTCCTGGTGCCTCAGGGAGTCTAGGTGCACGCTGTGTATTGTACTGTTGACAAAGTCTGGGTCAAGCCTGGCTCATGGTATTTCTTGCGTCTGTGCCCACAACTGTCACATTGTCCCTGCCACATGCACAGTCTGTTAAATCAAAACTAGAAATACTTACATTTCCTGCATTGTATTATCTTGTTCTAAAAACTTTATTTTAATAATGATTTTATGCCACAATGGATATTAAGAGTTTCTAACAGCAATAGGAGAGAGCGTCCATTGTGACTCCACTCTATTCGGTCAAAGGGATGTCAGGGTGACAATCAGAGACACTCTTTAGAAGGTGTGGGCGGTGGAACCTTCCTGCATTGTAAAAATAAAATGGCAGCACTGTTGTTAGTGGATATTACAGTATTCTAACAGCAATAAAAGGAGAGAAAATCAGTTAATGTTTTCAATTCACTATTTTCTTTCTAGAAGAAAATAGAAAGGGCCGTCTCTCAGGTATAGCAAACTTCACTAAACTTAGGCTGAAAGTAGTGAAACTGCCTGGTATAATTTCCCATAGCCTAATGTGACCGTTCTTAAAAATAATTAAATATTCAATTTACAATGTCATAAGACAGAAACAGCAAATCCTCACATTTGAGAAGCCTTTGGGCTACTGTAGAAAGCTATACCGAGACACAAGCAGATGTTAGTTACGTGTTTAATCAGCCTTGACATGAGGAACACTTGAAATTTTGAAGTTAGTGGCAGCCATCTTTCATGGAAAGGATGTCAGGATGACATCTAGGATTTTTGGTATTATAGAAACAAGTTTCCTAACTATGTTTATGAAAAATATCCCATCTTTCTTAGCATAGGAATTTAACTATTACAGACCCGTCCTAACTGAAGCATTTCCTAAGTTAGGAATCAGACGTTAGAATGGAATAGACCCTGTCCTTAATTAAAAATAACTGCCTAAAATGGCAGCACTGTTGTTAGGTCTGTGTTGCAATTACATTGAAGATGGGGAACAACATGAAAACCGAAATATTATAACTGAAAGGCTCCTCAAACCGTACAATTCCCGGATCTGGGGCCTCAGGGGTAAAAGACTGCGCAGCTTTTATACTGAATTTCAAAAGTACGTACGCACAGAAATATCCATATGTATAAAACCAGGCGTACTCCAGGTCCTGCGCACCTTTCCTTTATACATCCCAGTCAACGTGAAATTGAGCACACATGCATGAGCCACAATAACTTTTAGGGATGCACCGAAATGAAAATTATTGCCCATTGCCGAATTTTATGAAAAAATTTGCCGAACACCGAACAAGTACATTCACACCTTTTCCATTTATTTTGCCTTTTTTTTTTTTTACCATTGCATAAATTAAATAGTCAAAATGTGTCTTTTACTCAGTGTTTCCCACAGGATTTGGAGAGACTATGGTGGGTGGGTCCAAGGCCCAAGAGGGTCCAGTAAAGTAAATTACATTTGTCAATTTACTTTTAATGTACGCATGATGTAATATGTTTTATACTTTCTGTGAATATAATCCAATTAATCTTATTTCCATCCTGTACAGACACCTCATTTTGAAAACCGGACATTGTCCTTGCCCTAAATTCATTAAGTCCGACCCAATTTGATAAATCATGTTGTATGTGTTTCTCGTATTACATAACATAAAGA